AGGTCAATTTTAGATGCCAAATGTCGATGTAAGATGTCATATGATCATTAGATGTCACGTGATGTCATTACTATGTATCATTTGATGTGACAGGGTGTCACTTTTAGATGTCTCTTGATGTCAATGTCACTAAATGTAACACGACGTCATTAGATGCCACGTCGCGTCATCAGATGTCACATGAAGTCAATGTTAGATGGCATTTGATGTCACATGATGTCATTAGAAATCAATTGAAGTGTAAGATCTCACCTGGGATGTCACAATCTGTCATTGTTAGATGTCACACAATGTCATTAAATGTCACATGGCTTAATAGGATGACAATAGCTATCAAACGATCACGATGTGACTGTTACCCCCCCCCCCCCCTCCCCACCGATCACACTTCCTTGCTACCAATTCTCCGCTAGCATTCTACGCTTCACTGAACAGAAAGGCTTTTAAAAAAACTCAATGACTCCTTACTACTACTGCTAACCCGTACGTTTCGAGATCGAATCCGGGTTCAAATCAGTAGACCGTCCCTGATTCCACCTAACTGATGGGTACCAAACTCACGTTAGGGAAAGTAAAGGCGGCTCGGCATAGTGCTGACCACACTATCTCTTCATATGCCCAGGTCACAGAAACAAGTGAACTCTACTTCACTTGCCCTATAGACCTTCAGGTTTGAAAAGGGAACTTTACCTTTACCCACTGCTCTATCAACCAGGAGTTTTAATTCTACCTAAAGTATCGCACAGACACTACAAGGGTATACACCCGGTGATTTGGTCCTTGAATAGACTACCGTAATTGAAATGAAGCAACTGTTATCGGATTTTTTTACCATTCGTCTGACACTGTAGTTAAATTCAATACTGTTATAACTTCTAAACTTTACAGAGTTCAAGCCCCCCCCCCCTCTTCCCGCCCCCCTCCACTCCCAATCACGACGAACTTCAAAATTAATCTTGGTTATAATGCTAACTAGCCAACCCACTTAAAAATAATACCCAGTTTTATGGAAAATTATCCGTTTTTTTTAAAATTACAAGCTTCGTTACATTTCTTCTTCCCCTTCCCACCTCTCCCCCACCCCTTCCTGATTTTCACACGCCGACAAATCGTTCTCGTACTTTAAAAATAATAGATTAACGATATAAATGTAAGATTACCTGAAGAGTATTTCCTTTCAGAGGGCTAAGGGCGGGTTTAGCGAGGTGGAGGTGGCGGGGTGGTCTAAGCATTTATCGACTAGAATTCACCAGAATTTATAAATCTCAAGCTCGAGACTTAAAAGCTGTAACACGATGCCACTTGTCTTTGTGATACATTTGCTGGAATCGCCCCTGGGGTGGGGATTTGTGTACTATGGAGAGGTAATAGAGCGTTGCTTGAAAAAAAATGGTAGTCCTTTAATGGATGAAATAAGCAAACGCCACACAGTAGTCGCAGTCTATAGACACAGTGCTTAATAACTGCAACTCATTAGGTTATGGTTAGCAAGAAAGATGTTATTAAAGTTAGCTAGAGACGAATATTTTTTACGACTAAGAAACATTTGAATAAGCCTAGAGACAAATATTTCTACGACAAAACACATTTGAAGTGGTCTAGAGAAAAATATTTCTACGACATTAAAACACATTTGAATTTGCCTAGAGACAAATATTTGTACGACATTAACACATTTAAATTAGTCTATAGACAAATATTTCTACAACCAAACACATTTAAAAACACCCTAGAGTCAAATACTTCTACAACAAAACACGTTTGAATTAGCCTAGAGACAAATATTTGTACGACATTAACACATTTAAATTAGTCTAAAGACAAATATTTGTACGACATTAACACATTTAAATTAGTCTAGAGACAAATATTTCTAGAACCAAACACATTTAAAAACACCCTAGAGTGAAATATTTCTACAACAAAACACGTTTGAATTAGCCAAGAGTCAAATATTTCTACGACTAAAAACATCTAAAATAGCCTAGAGAGAAATAATTTAACCGCCATTTGAGAGTTTTTTGAAACAAATTAACCTCCAATCGACCGTTTATTGAAAACTATTTTAACGTCGTATGACCGTTTTTTGAAAGCACTCAACTGCCTAATGAACCTTTTTGACACAACTTAACCACCATTTGACAGTTTTTTGAGACAATTTGAATGTCATATCACCATTTTCTTGAAACCATTGAACCGTGCAGTCCAAACTATGCATCAAACAATTGGACTTGACCAGCCCTAACCGACGTATCAAAATCACTCAAGTGGAAATCTCCCCTCTAATACCGTCTCGCTTCACTGATTTTTATCACAGTCTCGACCATTTGATCGATTTCTGATCGATTTGTAATTATCAATTTTTTTTTTGCACTTTCATTAACTGTACGACACGGCGAGATCATTACATTAATTTTTATCCGGTTGTTTATCGGTCACCTAGTGCACTTGTAAACCCATTTTTTTTTTCTTTTACAACGTGCGCAATACGGCTGCGCATTGTGGCTGCGCATCGCAGCTGCGCATCGTACGGCCGAACTAATCAACACTTCCGTCTATAAGTAGATGTCACTGGTATCTGTAGCAGGGTGGGAGTGGAAGAGTGTGTGTGTGTGTGGGGGGGGGGAAGAAGAGGGTTAATGGGATAATGTGTTTCGTATATTATCCAATATAACAGAAAACTACTCAGTGTAACTTACAAGCGAAACGAAAATACAACATACAATTTCAAATGGATGTCAATACGCGAGTTCTTTTGTCCATGTCGTCATGACTTAACTACATTACATCACCTAGATTTGATTGATAGTATACTGCTACTGTGAAACACTGGAACCCCCCACCCTCCCTCACTCCCCCCCCCCCCCCAACTACCCACGCACACACCAGTTAGCTTTCCTTGTAAGATGACTTGATCCAAGGAGCAGAAGAATATTTCCCGCGCCCCATATAACATTATGTACATAGAATTCCTGAGGTGGTTCAGTGTAATAATACGAAAAATACTGAGCTTGTGAGTTGAATCACATTTTGTGTAACCCAAAGGGAGTAACAAATGGTTGGTCATTATGTTATGTTGTCTATCGAAGTGAACTGAATGAAACAATGTTGTGGAACACATACTTGCTTTTAAAGACAGTGAAACAAGCGATTTTCTCTAGAAAAAACTGATCGCATAAATCAAATTTACCTATGTGTGTGTTATAATTTTTAGTGCTATCCCTTATGATAGACATGGAATGGCATGGTCGGGAGTAGAGCGCACGACAGCTAACTCGAAAGTCTCGAGTTCGGATCCCGGGCTGGAACCAATAGGTCTTCACTGAGTATCCCCAGCCCTAATGGGTACCTGACTTATGTTCAAGAAAGATAAGACGGCTCGGATTAACGCTGACTTCATTATCCCTTTACATGCATAGGTCACAGAAACAGGTGAACTCTACTTCATCATGGACTATTATGAAGAATATACTATAGTTACTATTGTCAACTGTTTTGAAATCTATAACACAAATTTACCAAACCTTCTTTACTTTACACTGCCCGACAACAACATTGCACCTCAGAGATTTTTTAAATGTAATACAAATATTTTTGTTGATTATTTAAAAAAAAAATACAATTGACTATATTTTGAAGTTATTGATTTCTATGTCGTCCTTGATACAAATCAGGCAAAAGAAATCGATAGATTGATATTTGATCTCGTTAGAGTGCAACATAAAACTGTTGACTGTTTCTCAAGTGTTTTGTTAACACTCCCTTAAGCCGCAAACTTTAAAACTGGCAAAAAAATTACTTATGCTAAAAAAGGGAGTCTAGTCTTAAAGTAAAATAAGAGAGACTAGCACTAAAAAAACCCACTGCTCCAAATATAGCACACGTCAACAATCCAAAAATATATTTAGTATACCTTTGGTTTAAGAATTTTATTGATACATTTTAAAAGAAAAATTATGGTCAAGTTAAGTTTATAGCCAGGTTTCTGGTTAAGGCTGGCAAACATAACTCATTGGGCACGATCAGTGTTACTTCCAGACTTTTTTCTCCGGGGGGGGGGGGGGGGGGGGAGGGGCACTTGCTTGAAATTTCGGGGAGGGGGAATAAATTTCCGGGGGGGTGGTTATTGTTAAAAGTATATATTTCCTATATAAATCCCATTTCGAAGAGATGCCTGGTGTTGGGGTTATTTAATTTGACGGTGGTCTTGTTGACACTTCTTATTTTAAGAGAGAAATTTCAGTGATTTATTTTGTTATTAACCATTTTGATTGTGTTAATTCACTACAAGACAATAAACTGAAGATAGGCTATTGATTGTTATTAGGGAGCTGTTAAAAAATGTAGGTGGGCGGGGATTCAGATAATAATTACGATAGAGACAAAGGGGGAAACTTGAGTTTATACACGCGTTACTTACGTATTTTTAAAAGAAAACTGAGAAATAATTTTTATTACAGTTATAAATATCGGATTTTTTGGGGTGATTTTCTTTAGTGTGTGTTTGGGGTGGGGGTGGGTATGTTTTTTGCTACATTAGGTAGGGCGGCTTTCTATAAAGATATGGTAGGGCAGTGGGGAGGTAAGGGGTGCTAATGAAAACTTGATTAGAAACCTTGATGTCATTTATGAACGAGCCCTATACTTCCTGGTTGTTTTTTTAGAATAAAATTATATTCCGTGTTTATCTGTTGATACTAATGACTTTTGGTAATGTAGTCTTGTGTATTCAATGTATACATAATTTCTATTTAATGCTGGCACAGGCCCATATGTCGAAACATAATCTTTTCTTGGACTAGTTATGTACGTGAGTGTATACTTTAGTGTGTAATGTTGTTTTGACTGGTATTTCCTGTTGAAAAAAACTAACTTTAATGTACCCATAGGAATTTGATGTTATCAGATCCTGTGTATGTTTTTAAATGTATATTTCGCCCATAGCTTTTAATTGTTTTTTATATATTATAAAAAAGAGTTTTTTTTTCCTTCTATTACAGGTAGCCATCAAAGTTATCGACAAAAAGAGAGCCAAGACCGATAACTATGTTCGGAAAAACTTGCGCCGTGAAGGGAAGCTACTCCAGCTTATTCGTCACCCTAATGTTGTGTCCCTGTACGAGGTGATGGAGACAGACAACTCTTACTATTTGGTGACAGAGTTATGCCGGTTAGTACAACGTTAACGATAGTGTACGTTTGAATTTTGCTACCATCGTTTTATAGTGTTATTTACACAGGCTTATTGTTTATATTTTGGAGAATGGAAAAATGCGCATAAGAAATTTTTGTTTTTCTTAAATCGAGCATTATTGTAGACTTTTACAAATAACTACCTCATGCACATTGTAGCTTAATAAACATTTTCCAACGAAATTTACAAAATTAAAGGGTTTTAGTATAATAACTGCGTATTTGAGCATTTTTCTGATAGGGCAGTTTTGCTTCGCGCAATTTTCCGTTTGTGCATTTTCCTGGGAATGTACATTTTACAATATTGACTAATTTTAATTACTTGTACTGATTGTATTTTGAGTTCTGTTTGTAAAAGGGGTTAAGTGCATATGTTAGTAAATGCCAAATGCATCTAGAATTTAAAGAAGTGTTGTTTAACTAAAGAGATTAATTAATTAAACATATTATAAATATGCAAAACGTGTGACCAATAATTAATATCCAACTGTAGGCCAAGAAACATTTCATAGTATGGTTAAAGTATGTAATGCTGAAGTTCAATTATTATCATTCACGTAGGAATTGTTGTAAAATACTTAAATCCTTGTCGAAAACAAAATGCTGGTTAATAATCATTTATTCACTGTGCCCTAATAAAACTGGTTTTTATTTAAATAGTGCTTCAGTTTACGTAGATTTATATTTCTTAAACATTTGTATCAACACACATAAACAATGCATGTCAATTCTGCAGTCAAAATTATTCACAAGAAAAAGTGTTAATCACATAATTCATTACAGATAAATAAAAGGCTAATTTGTTAGATGTGTAGTATCTTTTGGAGACTGTGTTAAGGTTTACTTTTTTTTATAACCAGAGTTACCATTTTTTAAAATGCGGGTTAGATTTAGATAATTTGTCCAAGAATTTGGTTTATCTTTAAAATTAATGTCTCGAGTTTGTCACTTATCAAGATTTATACTTTACCAAACCGTTTATTTTTTTTCTGGTAAAATTACCCGTTACTCTATATGTACTTGTCTTACAGTTTAATTAAATTGTAGTAATACTAATGTGTTGGTCTATAAATACTATGTTGTAGTTCTCTACTCGTGTCTATGTTGCTCTTCACACTGTTTAAAAAAAAAAAAACTTTTATTGCAGAATAAGTCACGTGTCAAATCTAATTTTACATATGCATGACGTCACTACCTCGTAAAATTAACTTTATATACATGGTTTGTAATTCAACTTCCGCATTATGATCCAAATCTGGTTTCTTAATTTCAGGGGCGGCGATTTGATGGAGTATATCACGGCCAAGAAACGACTGCCAGAGTCGGAAGTGTCCAAGTTCATCCGTCAGATTGTCTCAGCTGTGGATTATCTGCATCGGCTGGGGATTATCCACAGGTAAAATTTCTTGTGTGTGCTTGGGGGGGGGGGGGCGTTTGGGATTATCCACAAGTAGGATTGTGGGCGCTGGGGATTATCCACTGATAGAGTTTTAGGGGCGTTGGGCATAATCAAAGGGTTAGGACTGTGTATGTGTGTGTGTGTTGTGTGTGTGTGTGTGTAGAGGAGGGGTCACTGGGGATCTTCCAGATGTAGGATTGTGGGGTGTTTGGGATTATCCACAGGTAGGATTTTAGTGGCGCTGGGATTATCCTCGTATAGAGCTGGGGGAACATTGGTCATTATCAACAGTCAGGATTGTATGTGTATGTGCGTGTGTGTGTGTGGGTGGAGGGCTCGCTGGGGATTATCCACAGTAAGGATTTCGTGTGAATGTGTGTGTGGGTGGAGGGGTCGCTGGGGATTATCCACAGTAAGGATTTCGTGTGAATGTGTGTGTGGGGGGGGGGGGGGGCGCTGGGGATTATCCACAGGTAGGACTATAAGGTGCTTGGGTTCTTCCACCACTAGGATTGTGTGGGCGCTGGTATTATACACAGAAAAAATTGTGGGAGAGGGGGTTTTATACAGGTGGAATTGTGGGGGTTTATAGCCGGGGATTATCCATGGGTAAGGTAGAGGGTGGCGGGGTTTGTGTGCTAATATGGTTGCTGTTCTCTACTTGTTTAACCTACCGACACATACCTTCAATACAAATCATCTATCGAGATTGTTTAAACAGTAAATAGCATCAAATGGTAAAATAATGGAAACATATTGGAATTTATTTAGAAAATATATAGCCCCCCCCCCTCCGAAAACGTCAAGTGCCCCCACCCCCCCACGGTCCTAGTTGCAGGTAAAGCAGAGTTTACCTAGTTTAATTACCTCAGCATTTGAAGCGATAATGTGGTCAGCACTATATATATATATATATATATATATATATATATATATATATATATATATGTGTGTATATATATATATATATATATATATATATATATATATATATATATATATATATATATATATATATATATATATATATATATATATATATATATATATATATATATATATATATATAGTGTGTGAAGGTGAAATCGACAGCCTTCATCCATTATTGATCAACGTTTCCATTTAACATTCAGTTAAGCTTGAATCGAGAGGGTAAAGGTGTTCCTTACGTCATACGATGCTATAAATATCTTACGTAGCACTAACCCACTAGTCGATCGGTACCAATCAAATATTTACTTCCGGAGACATAAAAAAGTATCAAGTTTCCTCTCGGCTCAGACAAAAACCAACGGAACAAATAAAATCAACGTACTATTATACTGGCAGTAAAAATAATCTTTAAAACAATCCGACGTGTTTAAATTTCTATAAAAAATAGTTCTAAAATTGTTTCAAGAACGTAGGATCAATAGTTTAAGTGGGTTAATGGGGCCTGTCAATACATTTTTATTGATAAATCATTTGGTAATTTTATCCATTTTCAGACCTGAAATCTTATCACCAATCAACAAACAAAAAACCATTAGGAAATCTCAATGTGAAATAGAACTTTTTTTTTTTACATGATAGAAAATAAACATTGAAAAAAAAGCGTTTTTATAAGTATAAGTGTATTTGTAAAAACCGAGAGTGAGCTCCCCCTACACTTTCTCGTATATTCTTATACAACAGTAACTGAAGTGGTGACACTTTTAGTACAGTAGTAACAAAATGGCTGGATGTTCGAGAATACTCATCGAGGTGAAAAGTTCTTAGACTATGCTTTGCGAGAACATGAATTAAAATCATCTAATTCTGAAGGTCTTTGAGGAATTGGAAATAAAGTACCCGGTTCCTTTTCAGTAAAATCTCTCAAACGTTAACAGAAACCATAAGATCGTTTAGCTAAATATAAATTTAACTCAATTCATGTAACTGAAACTGTACTCAAGTTATTGGTATACAGTTTTAAGTACCAGTTCCGTATATCGGAGGTCACTCGAAAATTTGGAGTGATCTAAGTATAGAATTTTTAACTTCAGTATGAGATTTCGTCTACCTATCTGTTGTCTTGTTCCCACGGAAATAATGAATAGTACTCTCGACATTGGCTTTTGAGAAACCGGAAGTGGAATAAGTACAAGTTCCTTTTACCGAAAAGTTCTTAAATGTAGAAGTATAACTACAAATTTGATCCGTCAACTTAAAGGAAACGGTACCCAAGTAATCATGTTTACAGAAAAACACACATAGCAAAGCAGTCAAAATTGTAAAACTAAGTTTTTTTCGATTCAGCGAGGTGTAAAATTTCGAGCTTTTTCGAATCCTTGAATGATATTTTTCAAAATCTCAATTTAGGTCTATTGCAAGATTGTAATACGCCCAACATACTCGGTATACGGCAAAGTAGAGTGTTGTAAATCTGCGAAAACTGTCACAGACTCATGATGAATTCTTTTTTAACGATTACGATATTTCATCTAGACTCTGTGTACGAGAAAGTAAAAATTCCACTTTTAAAAACAAAATACGATACAAAACTAAACTTGGAAAGAAGAATTGCAATTAGTATTTTTAGAAAGATCATTTACATTTTGTTTTAAAAAAAAGTGATTTAAAAGTTTTAAATTTTTTTTTTCAGAGATTTGAAAATTGAGAATCTGTTGCTGGATGCAAATAAAGACATCAAATTGATTGGTATGTAGATCATCACCTATTATGTATAGCTAGGTGTGTCATACTGAGGCAGACAATTAATGTCTGAATAGTACTCATATTGTCCATCACAAATATACTCATATGTAAATAAAACTTGTATTGCCTAACACAAATATACTCATATGTAAATAGTACTCCAACATAAGCGTACTCATATGTAAATAGTACACATATTGTCCAACACCAACAAACACATATGTAAATAGCACTCATATTAGCCAACATAAATGTACTCATCTATAAATAGTTCTCATATAAACCAACATAGATATACTCATATGTAAATAGTACTCATATTAGCCAACATAGATATACTCATATGTAAATAGTACTCATATTAACCAACATAGACGTACTCATATGTAAATAGTAGTCATATTAACCAACATAGACGTACTCATATGTATATAGTACTCATATTAACCAATATAAACGTACTCATCTGCAAATAGTACACATATTAACCAACATAAACGTACTCATATGTAAATATTACTCATATTAACCAACATAAACATACTCATATGTAAATATTACTCATATTTTCCAACACCAACGAACTCACCTCATGTTTACCTGTTCAGATTTCGGCCTGAGCAACTTTATCCGTGTGGCCAACTCACCAGACGGGACTAGGGCTCAGGAGTTCTGTGTCACCCAGTGTGGGAGCCCAGCGTATGCGGCTCCTGAGCTGCTCAACCACGAGAAATATGGGCTGCAGGTGGATCTGTGGAGCATGTGAGTAGTTGTTAGGTGTGGTGTGAGTACTTGTTGGGTGTGGTGTGGTGTGAGTACTTGTTGGGTGCGGTGTGGTGTGAGTACTTGTTGGGTGGGGTGTGGTGTGAGTACTTGTTGGGTGTGGTGTGTTGTGAGTACTTGTTGGGTGTGGTGTGGTGTGAGTACTTGTTGGGTGTGGTGTGGTGTGAGTACTTGTTGGGTGTGGTGTGAGTACTTGTTGGGTGTGGTGTGAGTACTTGTTGGGTGTGGTGTGAGTACTTGTTGGGTGTGGTGTGAGTACTTGTTGGGTGTGGTGTGAGTACTTGTTGGGTGTGGTGTGAGTACTTGTTGGGTGTGGTGTGAGTACTTGTTGGGTGTGGTGTGAGTACTTGTTGGGTGTGGTGTGAGTACTTGTTGGGTGTGGTGTGAGTACTTGTTGGGTGTGGTGTGAGTACTTGTTGGGTGTGGTGTGGTGTGAGTACTTGTTGGGTGTGGTGTGAGTACTTGTTGGGTGTGGTGTGAGTACTTGTTGGGTGTGGTGTGAGTACTTGTTGGGTGTGGTGTGAGTACTTGTTGGGTGTGGTGTGAGTACTTGTTGGGTGTGGTGTGAGTACTTGTTGGATGTGGTGTGTTGTGAGTACTTGTTGGGTGTGGTGTGAGTACTTGTTGGGTGCGGTGTGGTGTGAGTACTTGTTGGGTGCGGTGTGAGTACTTGTTGGGTGTGGTGTGAGTACTTGTTGGGTGTGGTGTGAGTACTTGTTGGATGTGGTGTGTTGTGAGTACTTGTTGGGTGTGGTGTGAGTACTTGTTGGGTGTGTTGTGAGTACTTGTTGGGTGTGGTGTGAGTACTTGTTGGGTGTGGTGTGAGTACTTGTTGGATGTGGTGTGTTGTGAGTACTTGTTGGGTGTGGTGTGAGTACTTGTTGGGTGTGTTGTGAGTACTTGTTGGGTGTGGTGTGAGTACTTGTTGGATGTGGTGTGTTGTGAGTACTTGTTGGGTGTGGTGTGGTGTGAGTACTTGTTGGGTGTGGTGTGGTGTGAGTACTTGTTGGGTGTGGTGTGAGTACTTGTTGGGTGTGGTGTGAGTACTTGTTGGGTGTGGTGTGAGTACTTGTTGGGTGTGGTGTGAGTACTTGTTGGGTGTGGTGTGAGTACTTGTTGGGTGTGGTGTGAGTACTTGTTGGGTGTGGTGTGAGTACTTGTTGGGTGTGGTGTGAGTACTTGTTGGGTGTGGTGTGAGTACTTGTTGGGTGTGGTGTGAGTACTTGTTGGGTGTGGTGTGAGTACTTGTTGGGTGTGGTGTGAGTACTTGTTGGGTGTGGTGTGAGTACTTGTTGGGTGCGGTGTGGTGTGAGTACTTGTTGGGTGTGTTGTGAGTACTTGTTGGGTGTGGTGTGAGTACTTGTTGGGTGCGGTGTGGTGTGAGTACTTGTTGGGTGTGGTGTGAGTACTTGTTGGGTGTGGTGTGAGTACTTGTTGGGTGCGGTGTGGTGTGAGTACTTGTTGGGTGTGGTGTGAGTACTTGTTGGGTGTGGTGTGAGTACTTGTTGGGTGCGGTGTGGTGTGAGTACTTGTTGGGTGTGTTGTGAGTACTTGTTGGGTGTGGTGTGAGTACTTGTTGGGTGTGTTGTGAGTACTTGTTGGGTGTGGTGTGAGTACTTGTTGGGTGTGGTGTGAGTACTTGTTGGGTGTGGTGTGAGTACTTGTTGGGTGTGGTGTGAGTACTTGTTGGGTGTGGTGTGAGTACTTGTTGGGTGTGGTGTGGTGTGAGTACTTGTTGGGTGTGGTGTGAGTACTTGTTGGGTGTGGTGTGAGTACTTGTTGGGTGTGGTGTGAGTACTTGTTGGGTGTGGTGTGAGTACTTGTTGGGTGCGGTGTGGTGTGAGTACTTGTTGGGTGCGGTGTGGTGTGAGTACTTGTTGGGTGTGTTGTGAGTACTTGTTGGGTGTGGTGTGAGTACTTGTTGGGTGTGTTGTGAGTACTTGTTGGGTGCGGTGTGGTGTGAGTACTTGTTGGGTGTGGTGTGAGTACTTGTTGGGTGCGGTGTGGTGTGAGTAGTGTACATGTAGGGTGTGGTTTCAGTAGTCTCCATGTCAGGTGTTTTGTCAGTAGAGTGTATGTAAGGTGTGGTGTAAATAGTGTACATGTAGGGGGTTGTATGGTGCCAGTAGTCCAATTACCTGTCAGGTGTAGTGTGGTGTCAGTAGTCTAGGTAACTGTCATATGTGGTATAGTGTCAGTAGTCTACATGCCAGGTGTTGTATGGTGTCAGTTGTGTACATGTCAGGTGTTGTATAATGTGAGTAGTCTAAGTAAGCTCGGATGTTTAATGTACGTACGCTAAATAAGCTGTGGTGTTGAATGTTTTAAGTACTCTAAGTAAGTTTGTTGAGCGTTGGAAGTACACTAAATAAGATTCTTGAATGTTGTAAGTACTCTAAATAAATTTTTTGAATGTTGAAATTACTCTAATAAGTAAGTTTATTGAATGTTGTAAACACAATGTAGGTGTTGCACGCTTGGAGTACCCAAACATACATGTTGGTTGTGTTATGGTGTGAGAGAGTCCCCCTTAAGTGTTGAGTAAAAGTTTTATGCCGGATAGTATAGATACCCATTTTAATTGAGTGAAAACACATCAATATTGTACAGCTGTGAAAGTGCTTACTTTGACTTAAAGGACCTCGGCACCATAGAGAACCATTAAGATGAAAATGTCGATAACCTAGTTGATAATGATTGGTTAAGACAGGGCTTTAACTACAGCTTTAGTCAAGATTATTTTTCTTTTGTTATGGGTGACGTTACATTTTTTGTCACGTGACGTCACGTCACATTCGGAGTCACACGTGACTTGCGTCACTTCAGTTTGTTGGCGTTGTTGAAAGCGGTCACCAGAGCGTTGCTTTTTTATATTTCGCCAAACAAAGCTAAGAAATATTATCGATCTTTTAATTTTAAATAGCGCAATTAAAAAACCCCAACTATTTTAATCTTAGAAACAATTTGTTTAAAAAAAAACCCAGTAATTAAACTTTTAAATGATTCATGCATAGAGAGACGCTAAATACCGATATAAAAGTAACCGAGTTAGATTCAAAGAATCATTCGCGGGAATTCTATAAAATGAAATAAAATAAACCACTGATGCAATAATTTATTATCTAGTGAAATATAAGTGGTTTAAAGCTATGGAGGAGTTGGTTTTTTTGTGTTGTTATTGCAAAATTAAGTTTGTGTTTTGTTTTAATGATCTATTGTTTTTTTTATTTATCGTTTTACCGTATATATATAAAGATCTAAAATATGCTCTATATTGTCAACACAGAATGATTTCTGTTCAGTTGTTTCAAGTATCAGTTTTATCGATTTCCTATCTTACGATTCCATATGTATCAGCCTTGTATAGTTGGACATGATAGTGATAAATTGTGTCATGTATATGTCTAATGTATTCCAATGTTTTAAACTGTACAGTCAATTCGTACCTAGAATACAGTTTCACATATTAGTGTTTTATGGTGTCATCTATATTTGTGATGTCCTATGTTGGGTAATGAAGGAGTAGTGTCTAGAATACAGTCTCACATACGTGTGTTTTATAGTCTCACCTACATATGTGATGTACGGTGTTCTTTAATCGTGGTGTGTTGTCTAACGTACAGTTTCACATACTGGTGTTTTATTGTGTCTTCTACATATATCCGGTGTTTTAAAATCGATGGTGTCTAGAAGGTGTCTAGAATATAGCTGTTTTGGCCTGTCTATATCGGTTGTATTTCAGTGTTCTAATATTTTATCGAGACTTCTAGAATTTAGTTTCACATACTTCTGTTGTTTCATTTAGATATCTGATGTATTCCAGTGATTTAATATTTTACAGTAACTTGGTTATAGTTCAACATATTTTATCGTGTCCTGTCCATATCTGTTGTAGTTCAGTGTTCTAATATTTTATCGTGACGTGTAAAATATATTGTCACATATTTCTGTTGTGTCCTGTCCATATCTGACGTAGTCCAGTGTTCTAACCTCCCTTCCCCCCTCCCTCCCGTGATGTCCACAGAGGCGTCAACATGTACGCCATGTTGACCGGCGGGCTCCCCTTCACCGTGGAGCCCTTTAACATCAAAGCCCTGTACGCCAAGATGAGGGACCGGCAGATGAACCCTGTACCAGACGACTTAACCCGAGGTAAACATTGCCTCATTTCATTTTCTTTATAAAACTATGGGACTTTTTGAACATGATGAAAGTTGGGGTAAGAAAATTACACGTAATTTTTTTTCGGCATATGGGAGGGCGTGGCCAAGCGGTAGAGGAATAGACTGCTAACCTAAAAAACTGGAGTTTTAATCTGGGTTCAATTGAGTAGAACGTCTCATAGTCAACCCAGCTGTGATGGGTATCTAACTCAAGTTAAAGCGAGTAAAGGTTGCTGTGTATGGTGCTGATCACACTATCCCTTTATATACCGAAGTAAAACGAAACAGGTGAACTCTACTTCACTTGCCCCATGAACCGTCAGATTCGAAAAGTGAACTTACAATTTCCCCCGAAAGGATGTTCTGGAAGGATGAGTTACCGTAGTAACATACATGTACACCGACGCTTTTTCAGACCCTGTTTTGACAAACTTGCCCTTATACATTTCACTGTTAAATTTTAATAATTTCGAAGTAAAGTGTGATTTTTTTTCACGATAAAAATAAAACAAAAAATTTTTTTAAAAATATTTTGTGTTTTAACACAGACTGTAAAGACCTGCTCCGCAAGTTTTTGAACCCTGACCCAGCAAGACGTATCACCATAACGGAAGCCTTGAGTCACCCCTGGCTAGCTACAGGTCAGTGCTAGACTGTGTTGGTTATATCACTATGTGTATTAATTTTATATAATATAATATATATATATATATATATATATATATATATATATATATATATATATATATATCGGTTTACGTAGCATATTATATTTTTACACTGAATATAAACATATCAAAAATAAAATGTAGAAATACGTTTTTACGACCTTATATTTTATTTTTGAGAGCACCATTTTTCAAATTATTTTTTATATCTTTTCATATTTTACTTTTTTATTTCTTAAATAAAACAAAAATATTAATTAAGGTCAATTAATAATGGATAACTGCGATAGAATCTAGAAATAATTAATAGACATTCTTATAAAAAAACGTCGACCAATTTTCAGTTAGAAATATAATTTGCTCATAACGTCATAATCCTAGATCGCCTCAACTTAGACTGAAAGTATTCCCCTCCTGCTAAAATTATGCTCAGAAAAAAAAAAAAAAAAAAAAAAAAACCTAAACGTTATTAAAATTGTTAAACGAAGTCAAATAGTTATCATTACTGTCCAGCCATTGAGTGGTACTTCTTCTTCTTCGTTCTGTTTCTATAATGGAGGAATCATTCATCACGATCCACATCAAAACGAACTGTGCTGTCATCTCCAGTGTTACAAGCTCCCCATAACATTTTTCTTTCTAATGAGTTCTACCCATTTTTATTGACAGTTAACGGACAATTAGAAGTAGTTATCGGTCATTTAAGGACAATAAGAAGTAGTTATCGGTCATTTAACGGACAATTAGAAGTAGTTATCGGACAGTTAACGGACAATTAGAAGTAGTTATCGGTCATTTAACGGACAATTAGAAGTAGTTATCGGTCATTTAACGGACAATTAAAAGTAGTTATTTGACAGTTAACGGACAATTAGAAGTAGTTATCGGTCATTTAACGGACAATTAGAAGTAGTTATCGGTCATTTAACGGACATCTAGAAGTAGTTATCGGTCATTTAACGGACAATTAGAAGTAGTTATCGGTCATTTAACGGACAATTAGAAGTAGTTATCGGTCATTTAACGGACAATTAGAAGTAGTTATCGGTCATTTAACGGACAATTAGAAGTAGTTAGTGGACACTTCGCGAACAATTAGACGTAGTTACCGGACAGTTAGCGAAAAATGTTATCCACAACTGATATACAAAAGTAGCATAACGCTTATAAAAAAAATGCACGAAATTTAAGATACCAAGCCTTAAAGAAAAATAATATTTTATTATTTAAAGTTGATATTTACATGCACTGTAATGTAAATCAAATACTTAATCAATGCATTTCGTTGAAATAAACCTACTACTGTGTACTCTTTTGAAATAAACCTACTACTGTGTACACCATTGAAATAAACCTACTACTGTGTACTCTTTTGAAATAAACCTACTACTGTGTACACCATTGAAATAAACCTACTACTGTGTACACCATTGAAATAAACCTACAACTGTGTACTCCCTACAGGCAACAAACCCTTACCACGCCACCCCTGCCCCAACAAGATGAGAACGTCAGACCTGGATGCCGACATCTTAAGTCACATGTCCGAGAACCTGGGCTTTCGTATGGGCGAGGTCATCAAGTTCGTCACCTGCAATACCCCCAGTCCAGGTAGGTCAAAGTTCATGACGTCATATTAGTGTAATGTGGGACTAGCGGTAGAGCGCTAGACGGCTAACCCGAGAGTCTCGAGTTCGAATCCGGGTTCAAATCAGTGGAACGGCCTGATGGGTACCTAGTTTACGTTAGGGAAACAAAAGCGGCTGGGTATAGTGCTGACAACACTATCACTTTATATGCCGAGTTAAATGAATCATATGAACTCTACTTCATCTACCCCATGTGTCTTGGGCACGAAAATGATTAAGAAGAAGATTAATGTAATACTTTGAATGCCAGATTTCACGTTCGTGTATTTAAGTGTATTACATTGACAATCACATTATTGTAATACTTTGTCAAGTTCTTTTATTACATTAAATACCACATTAAAGTAATGGGAACGTCATGTATTACGTTGAATATTACATTAGTGTTGTACTTTGAAGGTCATGTTAATGTATTTCATTTATTATCAAATTAATGTAAGAAATCAAACATCACATTTATTATCTCTAATTTCATTGTGAGACAATAATACAAATCGAAAAGTGAATTACTTAATTAAGCGTTAAACGTAATTTATGTTAGCTGCCTCCCATCTTGAAATTCAAAATGTCCAAGGGACACAACCTATAGTCAAGCTCCCAAAATTAGTACAAACTAGGGATATCTCCAAACTAATAAAAACAAAATATGTAGGTTATTGTTTATCATTCATATAATAATAATCTTAAACAGATTTTTGCATAACTGTCTTTTTTATTTATATTTTACATTATTGTTTTTAACTACCGGTTGACACTATTAGCTATAGAAAACTCGAAATATTGTCTAATACTTTAGTTTTTAAATATTATAAGCGATTGCTATTTTCACTTTATTGTTGGGGAAATAAGGCTAATTTCTAATTGCTTTTCTCTGCCAAACAAAAAGCTATAGCAGGGGGTCCGCAACCTGCGGCTCCCCTGATGCCAAGGCGCGGCTCTCTAGCCCCCTGCACGCATATTATCTATATATATAATTCTCTTCTGGGAGCAGCTAGAAAACAAGCTGTAAACGCGCTCCCTACCTCCCCACCCCTACATGGTTTTAGTGAGCTGTGTTCACTCTAAATGTTTACAAGCAGAGCCAACGATTTTAAACGTAGGGGGGGGGGGGGGAGGGGGGGGGGAAGGAAGGGGGGGGGGGGGTATGGTCCTTAACGAGCTACCTATAGTGCCTTAAAGAAATATTTTCAGTGGCAGCGTTGGTACTGTCGAATTCACAAATTATGAATTACTGAAAAGTAGAAAAAACAACAACTAAATAGCGGCGTATGTTATGCCGCGGGCCGGCTCGTTGGTTATATTATTTCATTTTCGAAACTCATAACAAAAATTATACTGTAAAGAAACCAGGGGCGGAACTAGAAAAAAGGGGCCACCCCGCAAAAAAATTGTTTAGCCCCCCCCCCCCATATATATATATATATATATATAAATATATATATATATATATATATATATATATATATATATATATATATATATATATATATATATATATATATATATATATATAGGGAGCCGGACGTTTTCCCGAAAGACACTTGCCCGAATGCCGTTTTCCCGAAGGCCGATTTCCCGAATGGACACTTGCCCGAATGCGACAAATGCCCGAATGGACACTTGCCCGAATGCGACAAACGCCCGAATGGACACTTGCCCTAATGCGACAAATGCCCGAATGGACACTTGCCCGAATGCGACAAATGCCCGAATGGACACTTGCCCGAATGGGACAAATGCCCGAATGGACACTTGCCCGAATGGGACAAATGCCCGAATGGACACTTGCCCGAATGGGACAAATGCCCGAATGACACTTGCCCGAAGGCCGTTTGCCCGAAAAATGTTAATATTAGATAATAAATAATATTTCCAAATAGATATTCTTTAATCAGTTTAAGTTTGAAATTTTTATTAAAAACACAATTCTAAGCATAAAAGTTGTTTATATTTTTAAATTTAGCTTTTATTTTTTTTTTCAAAACCGAGAAAGAGCTGTAAGAAAAACTTTTCTCTTTAAAACAAAGGGAAAAAGAAGATACAAGAGCGTGGGGTGGTGTCTATAGAATAAAGATAATCCAACCGCAGCTACGGTAATTTTTTACAAAACAACCATCAAGTCGAAAATGAAAGAAAATTTACTTTTTTTTAAACAATAAAAATGTATCGGCTCTGGGCCCCTAAATGGCGTGGGCCCCCCTGCATTGCGGGGTCTGGCGGCACTGTAGTTCCGCCCCTGAAAGAAACGTAAGTTTAAACAGAAGAAAACACTCATTTGAGAACAGTGCGAATATGTGCACTAGAAAGTATACGGACAGCCGCTTGGGCACCAGGCCCAGCCCCACATCCGTGTCGTGGACATCCCCGTGACAACAATATTCCATGCTTGCCACTGCCCAAGTGCCGACCTTTTCGAATATTGTTAAATGTGGAATGTTATTTTATTCACAATGCATTTCCCCACCTGTCTGGAATCATCAATTTGAAGTGCTCTTAGTTATTAGCTTCCTACTGTTGAGCCGGGTACTGGACGGTGGGGTACCAGTTTACCTTGCGTTCAGTGGGGTGGAAGATAAGACTGGTGAGAACCAAAGAACAGAAGTGACCGATACACGGTAATCAAACCGATTCCCAAGCCCAGAGGCGCAGCGACCCTTCCCGGCGCCCGGGGACAAACCTTTCGATTTGCACCCCCCCCCCTCGAGATTTTGATTTGCACCCCCCCCTCTCGAGATTTCCATTTGCACTTCCCCCCTCAAACTTTCGATTTGCACCCCCCTCAACCTTTCAATTTATTTTTCCAACATATTTTGGCGCCCCCTAAGGTCGGCGCCCGGGGACATATGTCCCCCCCCCCCGCCCCCCCCCCCCCTCGCTACGACACTGCCCAAGCCAGTTAGTCGGAGCTTGTCGTGTTGAGGCCTGCCTGGCTAGTGGGAGACACCTCCTGAGCCGGTGATGTCCGCAAAGAAAGAAAAAAAAAGTTAACTGCTTCTATAGTGGATTTGAATAGTCCTATACTTTTATTTTTTGATTACTAATTTCATTATTCTGGCGAAACATGTGTATGTTTTTATATGAATAAATATTATTTCTTATTTAAAGCGATTTATTTTAAATAACAAATTAAATTTATTTACCTATTCTTAATCAAATAATAAAGTATTGAAATTAAAAAAAAAGTTAGTGGCTCTTTAAAAACTGGGAAATTTTGAAAATTGTAACTTTTGGCTCTTCCGTCTCAAAAGGTTGCCGACCCTGGAGCTATAGGACTGATAGCTTTTAAAGAACACACAAATCCACTTGCAACATGCCCAAACAACTTATTTAAAGGGATATGCGCAGTATATTCACACTTTTTTTTTCTATAAAGGGCTGAAGCCTTTTAAATACTCTTACCATGTTTGGCACTAGAAAGTAAGTATTAAACAGAAAAAAGGGGGCTTAAAAACAATTTCGGTTGTCATAGAAACCAGAAAAATATTCTGTCCATTAAAACGCTAACGCATTTTTATTTATGCATTTGAAATAATCAAGTTTACACGGTATATATTAAAACGTTAGTCACGACAACTCTTTAAAATAGAGCTGCTCTTCAGATTTTTACAATCTCCGAAACATTGCACTCTTTTTTGTATGCGACTGTTTCAAATGTGCATATTTTTCGCAAATACTTTTTTCTATGAAAGCCATCACAATTCCCTCGTGATAACATTGTTATTAATGTGTTATTACATGAAGAAAGAATACTGAAAATATGCTGAAAATAGAATAAGTAGCAGGCTTTTAAGTATAAAAAACCTGCAAAATGAGAAAAATTGCAAAATGTAACTAAAAGCAGGTAACGAAAATAACATATCTGTGTAAGTTGTAAAGCTATTTTAAAAGCTTTGGGTATTTCCGATATAAAATAAAATACAATTCACAAAAAGGCCTTATGTTCTGAAATCCAGCTTTACAAATACGATATGATAACGGATTTTAAACTTTTCGTAGAGAGTATGTAAAACTGGAAAAAAAATATCTTATGGAGCCATGGAAATTGTATTTTAAAAATATTTTAAAATGTTTTTCTCATTAAGGTTATTTTTTTATACAAAAGTAGACAAAGTGTCCAAAAGTATGCTTATCCCCATATACATTGCTTTTCCTTAGTATATTTAGTAAACATGAAAAATTGTTAGAAACAGGCATTTTTTACTGAAATGGCAATGTAAACATAGAGTATTATTACAATACAAAAGGTAGACCTAGGTATATGAGATAGTCTGTTAGAGCAATAGATAGCGAAATACGATTCCATCCCGCCATTCTTCAGGATGCCGAATCCCCTCGCGTACATATATATTATGTATATATATATATATATATATATATATATATATATATATATATATATATATATATATAGGCCTATATGTATGTGTATATATGAAACTGTATTGAGTGGGGGCAGTTTAGTGCTTAGGTTATGTCTTGTCAAACGTGTTGATAAAATGATTGGGTACCATTTTATCATAAATCAAAAACTTTATTTTATAGTTTTTTTGTGATTATCATATTTATATTTTCGACTACTGCTTATCTGTGTTAGTAAAAACTCCATTCATAAAAGCTGGGAGAGCGGCTTCAAGACCTTTAACAATAGTGAAAAAAAACATATGCTACGTTTAGACACAAGACAAAAATAAGCTTGAAAACATTCAACAAGCCCATGAATCGTTGCGTCCGTGTACTTAAAACACAGTTTTCGTTGCTAAAAATACTTTTTTTTCTATTTAAGGATTAACAAATATAATTCTTAAAATAACCTCTCTGTTCTATTTATAATCCTGCTAACATTGCCGTTTCAAAAATAGAATTTTATAGTTTTATTTTAAAAGCTCTTGCTGACCGCACACACACGCGGAGGTTTAGTTGACGTGTTAATTTAAACAGCCGCGAAATGTGATGCTATTTATAGCTGGCATGTGACCCAGTGTGAAGGGACTCAAGTTTGTAAACATTAGAACAATCGTGGAGCTCAAATGTTTTCTTTCCTAATTTAATGGACCTGTTGTTTAGTGGAACGGCTTGTCTCGTTTATTTGTGTTTGTCAGGGCTATTTTTAGATGTTCGTTTGTGGTCGTCTTGGCTATTTTTAGATTTAGGTCGTGGGATAGTTTGATAGAAGATGTTTAGAAAAATAACGTTTAAGAATTAAAAAAAAATAATACTTTACGACTGCAGACTTCATGTACACGTACACATGTGTCCACTTTATTACATCACCTCACATACACTCATACACACATACACACGAACACTCACATACTCATATTTTACATCAACACACATACACACGTGAACACACACACGCGCATATATCACACCACCACACATACACACTTACACACTCACACACATATATTTCACATCACCGCCCACTCACATTTGCACTCACACACAAATATATCACACCACCACACATACACACGTACACACACGCACACAAATATCACATCACCACACACTCATGCTTGCACTCACACACACATATAACACACCAACACACATACACACGTGCGCACACACACGCGCATATATCACACCACCACACATACACACTTACACACTCACACATATATATATCACACCACCACACATACACACTTACACACTCACACATATATATATCACACCACCACACATACACACTTACACACTCACACATATATATATCACACCACCACACATACACACTTACACTCACACACATATATTTCACATCACCGCCCACTCATATTTGCACTCACACACGCATGTATCACACCACCACGCGTGCACATACACTCATATATCACACTATCTCACATATACACGTGCACTCACACGCACCTATCGCCTACCTACACATTATACATACACATAAAACCTACGCTAAGCATCACCAAACAAACCTATCACATCTAAGGCCCATCACACCTGTCAAAACCACAACCACACATCTGCTACAGCCCTAACAGCAACTTACCATTGCATCGGCTTCATTACATATTAATCCGCTGAAATGTTAATAACGTACATCAAACACCTCCCCCCTCCCCACTACTCATCATCACCACTCAACACAACCTACAACACCTGTTGATTGATTGCCACAAGTGGGCAACAGCCGCCCTTGTTATATTTATATCAAATTACATTTTTTATTTAACTGCAAGTTAATTTGATTGAGTTATAAATAGATATACTCTCAGTGAAATGAATTTTAGTTAGGAACACCACCCCCCACCCCCCTTCTGGGTTCTCTATGATTTCACTCACAATTTATTTTCTGTATATGCCCTGGGTAGGGGATTCAAATTCAACAACAAAGAGATATAGAGATTTGAACTCTAAACAAGGCTAACTAAAATATCTTAGCACTAAACAATGTGTTAGATATTCCTGCCATATGATATAACTTTATCGTACACATTGTTTAGAAATTATCTTAAAGAATTGTCCATGAAATATCCAATTCTATGACGATAACTATCCCGGTAATATATCATTTCGAGGCTATTGTTTGTTCTTTATGTAGTCCGAGTTATGTTTAAGGTACATGGTTAATTTTACGTTAACAAGTTGGGACATAGCTAAGGCCTAAGGACCAGAGTTAGGACCAGCTAAGGCCAAAGCTATGTATAGGGCTAACCTCAAAGTTGTATTCAAAGCTAGAAATAGAGCTATGGACAGAGCTAAAGGTAGTGTTTATTTTAGAACTAGGGTCAGAGCTAGAGGCAGTACTAGGTGCTAAGTATAGAGACTCAAGAAGAGCTAGAACTATGGTCAGGGGTAAATGTAGAGATAATATCAGAGCTGGATGTAGAGCTAAAGTTATCATAAAGCCAATATCATAGCTATAGGGTGATTTGTTACCATAACTAGGGATAGAGCTATGGCTAGAGCTGTGGCTAGAGCTAAAGTTAGAGCCAATATCATAGCTAAAGATTAATTTGTTACCATAACTAAGAATAGCGCTATGGTTAGAGCTAGGGCTAAGACCAGAGCTTAAGGTAGATTTATATAAGCCAACATTATCCTCTACACGCCAATCTGAAACAACCCACTGAGCCCACCACCATACAATGGCACCATTCCATCACATCGAGTGATCACTGGTATCAAAGGCACACATTGAAATAAACATCTGTACAACACCTGCTAATGACAGTCTAATCTCTCTCCCCCCCCCCCCCCCCCACCACCAGCTTGCGCCACCTATCACCTGTACCTAAGCCGAGTTAGCAGATACAACCTGGAGCAAAGGTCATCAGGACAGATGACCCCTGCGGGGAACAGAAAGACAGGGGAGGATACTCGAATAACTCTACATCTCCAGGTAAGACAGAGTTGTCCTTGAACAAAAAAAATTGTATTGAACACAACATATGGGCCTGAATTAAATATTAAATTAAAATAAATTAAAATATTTCATTAAACTGTACAATTTTTAAGGGTCTACATAATTTAGCGAAAAAAAAAATTATTTTACCAAAATTTAGGCTTCACCATTTTTTTTTACGTAAAAATAGATATTCCTAAAATGGTAACAAGACTTAACTTTTCAATAAACTTTCATGATATTTTATTAAAACGTATATTACAGGTATAATAACACTGATTCTATTGCTTTTGATTACGTGCATTTACTATTTAACACTGTGCTGTATCACTTATAGTAAGCTATCATTAAACATTAAATGGAATTTTTTAAAACATTAAAAATAAATAGGCCCTACATATATATATATATATATATATATATATATATATATATATATATATATATATATATATATATATATATATGTATATATATATATATATATAAATATATATACAGAGGCGTAGCGACCCTTCCCGGCGACCGGGGACAAACTTTTCGATTTGCAACCCCCCTTCGAGATTTTGATTTGCACCACCCCCCCCCCCCCTGAAACTTTCGATTTCGCACCCCCCCCCCCCCCCTCGAGATTTTGATTTGCACCCCTCCCCCTCAAACTTTAAATTTGCACTCCCCTCAACCTTTCAATTTATTTTTCCAACCCATTTTGGCGCCCCCCCCCCCCGCCCCCCCCCTCGCTACGCTACTGTATGTATATATATATATATATATATATATATATATATATATATATATATATATATATATTGAGGCTTTTTATTTCTTTTTAATTTTTGTTTAATTTTTGTTTTAAATGCAACAAAACGAATGTTACAAAATAAGTTCGAGTTAATTAAATATTTGTTATATGTTTATGTTTTGTTTAAAATTATGTTATATATTTATGTTTTTTAAATATTTATTTGTTTCATTGCAGGATATGCGAGCTAAAACGGAGATGAAAAATAACAAAGAACATCCACCCCACACCTCTACATCAGGGGTCATCTCCCCCACCCCCAGGCTCCAATCCCGAGGGTTGACGTCGGTGACCACCGAGGGTACCGACACCACCTACAACAGCAAGAAAGATTCGGGGATCAGCACGGACGCCTCCAACAGTAAGTTGGTCAAATGGGGTGGACAAACAATGTGGATAGACATGGACCTACCGAAGACCTTACACATAGACCTAACACAAATATCTAACAAAAAGACCTAACATCCGGACCAAACACAAAGGCTTTACGCAAAGATCTAAAAAAGACCTCACAAAAAAACCTTACACAAAGAGTTTTCACAAAAACCTAAAAAAATCTAACAAAGACCGAACAAAAAGACCTAACAAAGACCTTTCACGAAGACCTGAAAAGATGTAACAAATACCGAACAAAAAGATCTAACACAAAGACCTAAAATGACCTAATACAAATACAGAACAAAAACACCTAACAAAAAGACCAAACAAAAATGCCTAACACTGGCCTAGCACAAAGACCTAACACAAAGACCTAACAAAAAGAACTAATACAAATACCTAACATAAAGACCTAGCAAAAGATCTAGCAAAATGACCTTACACGAAGAACTAACACTGAGACCGAATACGAAAATCATAAATAGCTTGGGTTCGACTATAATGCTATAGATGGGGTTATTGTTTGTTTAGTGAAGCAAGTAACATAATTCCACGCTTATTGTAAATATTGCGGGGTCAATATTTCGAACTTTATTTTCTCCTCAATAACAAAAAGGAGCGGCTTAGAGATGGGTGAAATAAAGTAGGGTGGAAAAAGTTAGATGAAAAAAAAACTGCCATTAGATTCATTATATGATTTTATTTCTTACGCCTATTAATTTGTGATGCTATTTATAAAAAATACCCGCACAGTTCAAATTTAAACCAAGTCCAAATTTCTGTTCCCGCAGTTGATTCCAGTGACCGCAAGGAGAACCGCAACCCGCTGACCAGGTACGACTCAATCGACCTCAACACGGACAAGCTCCTCCCCGACTCACCCACCCACTCCGACGTCTCCAGCTCCAGCCTCAAAGACATCACGGCCAACTCACCCACGTTACGTCATTTCTCAAAACGTGCTCTGCACGAGCCGACCGTTACCGTCTCCACCACCGTTGGCGTGGTTTCCGCTCGCCAAAACCAACACATCGACATCGGGCGAGAGTTGATTGACAAGCTGACCACGCCCTCCAAGGGAAAGGTGGTCGGTTTCGGGAATTCCCGCGACGAGAGATGTAACCACGCGCAAGGGGAAACGAACGCGTTGCGTAAATCTGTGCCCTCGCCCACGCGGAATGTTTCGCACCCAATGACGCGTCAATCCCACGCGGAAGAAAACTCAGAGGCGCTGGTGAACAAAGAGAGGCAATCCATCTACAATAAATACAAACTTCACATGAAAGTCAACACCGTGGATAAACCCAGCAACAACCAAATCGGCGACGAAAACAACAATCTCGTGACCGGAAACCAACCGGCTCAAATCCGGCGCTACATCCAAAACAACAAACTGCTCATCCGCCGAGGCATGGTGAAAACGGATTTGAACTCCGCGAACAAACCGCACGACAACAACGTGTACATCGTCAACGCTGACCCCTACCCTCAACCAAGCCCTTCGATCAACCGGATTATCCCAAAACAGCTAATCCCATTCAGGAGCGCGCAGGATAGACCTCGTCTCTCAGAGATCCACCCTCTCCACGATTTAAAACAATACCAAAAAGCGAAAACATCCGAATCCATGTCCCTGCACGGGAAAAACGTCTTAAACACCTACGCCGGCGATTCCAGCCCGGCTTCCAAAAGACCGGTCTCGCCGCCTCAGAAACCGGCAGTCGTCCGGCGGAAGTTGGCCAAGCGTCATCGGATCGGGGAGCTGACCCCGCCCGGAAGTCACGTGATTCAAGACCCCGACCCCATCTTGAATACTGACCTACTCATCACGGATATCCTGGATATGAAGATTTGCACAGAAGGGATGAGCTGCGATCGGAAATCTCCGTTACCTTCTATATCTCCACAGCACTCTCACAGATAGTTCAGCCAGATTGGTATATCTATCTTACAAGTAAACGATATCCTTGACATGTACAGTGTAATACCCAAAACTTCATTCGCCTGATGAACAGTTTTACCGAAGACAGTAAAAAATTAAGTCTTACGGTGATTGCGAACTGTTATATTCGCGATCGATGCAAATTCTTACCAGATGAAAGAAAAAAAAACAACTTAAGTCTTACAGTAATTGCATGAAAAGACGGTGATATGACCTAAGCTGTATGCGAATTATGTTCATATGATATCTTTTTACCGTCAATATTCCCATTAGTTCATTACCCACCCATCACCTCATCACATAAAAATGTACGTTATCAAAGTTTATACAAAATGTGGAATGTTTACAAAAAGCATTCGACAATTATTTATTCGAAGCAAAAATAACAAAACAAATTGACTCGTTTTTAATAAGTAATGCTTTTATATTATAAAAATGTTTTGATATTATTATATAATTGGAACAGAATAACAATGAAACACAAATATAATGACGTTCTAGTATTCTAAGGTACATGAACGTGTATCCTAAAAAAGTCGAATGCATTTTTTGTATCAGTATTCGTAAGCTAGGACATTATAAATGAACTGATCATGATCACAAAATTAATGAACGTGCCTTGTGGATTAGATAATTGTATTACTTCTTTTTATTGTTTTGTTATCTAACATTTGAATATTTGGAGGTTTAAAAATACCGATAAGATTGTAGGAAATTTTCGAACTTACATTCTACGTCGTTGTATTTTTATAACACGATATTATTATGTATATATAAAAAAACTACTCAGCCTTTATATTTGTAGTTGTGTAGTAATACGAGCAGTTTCAAGATGCTGCGTTTCGAAACATGACATGGCATTTCATAGGTGAAGTAGATTTCACCAGTTGATGGTAGGGAGACTTAAGCCTCGGTGAAGCGTTGTTACCTTCTATATTTAGATGTAGGAATGATACTTAGCATGTCCTGGTAGCGACGCTACTATTAGCAATTTGCTAGCTATTTATAGTAGCTATTGCTAGAGCACTGTGGAAAAAAAAATGTTGAGAAATTAAATTAAGCTTCTCCACATTACTACTATACTCATGATATTTTTGCAAAACTTATTTTTAATTTAGATTGGTTAAAACGTTTTACCAATACGGATTAAAATATCTCCAATGACTTATTCTCTTATGTTAGATAACAAGAATAATAAATTCCTAATGTTAAATTGATGTAAATAATACAAACATTATGAGATTTAATTATATTCTGTCGTCAGCATTCACATTTAGCTTATCAATAATCACATTACCTCATTGTTATTTAATGTATACCTTCATATATAGACAAAAAAATCCTTCACTTAGTTGTTGGGTAAATTACGTTCAAAATATCAGTATTGGATGGAGCGAATACGTGAATTCGCCAATACTCGTTTTGGTGTAGAAAGTATACCGTTTTATTGACTTGTACATTGATCCTGACACAAAGGTATGTGTAACTATTTTATATCACTTGAGACTGTTTCACATTCAGCATTCACTTTTATACCGCGTTGTACAGTATTTATTTCTTTGTAAATATTAGCTGTCGAATTGTTACTAGATCGAGATATTGAATTTGTTTTTCATTAACTCAACGTGTACATTAGAACACATGGAGGTTCATTGTGAGGTTTAAAAGATTTTGTACTTCGACTTTGTTATGTGTATTCGATATTCTTTCAATCTACGGATAAACGATCGTGTACATTAAAGACACAATACAGACCTAAATATAATCCTAGATTTGTTTTTGACTAAAACTCTAGTCTATTCATTAGCCTAGTTTTTACCCTTGATACTAACCATAATAGAGATACCGTACAATTTAAATAACTAGATGAGTGTTAAAAATAATACACAATATGTAACTCAAAATGTACATACTGAAACAAAAATTGTAATTTTCTATTTAAATAAAAATGAAATAGTAGGCTATTGTATAAGTTTTCTAGATAATTAGTTTATGAAATACATAGTCCTCTCATTTAATTTTTTTTTTATTTATATGCGATGCTGTGAAAATGCAAAAAATAATATATAGGGCCTACATTGTAATGTATTACCATGTCTGTTATTAAATTTAGCTCTCGTAACCCGCATTGTGATATGTGAATTGATGACATGTGATATGTGAATTGATGACTTCAGTAAGTGTGATATGTGAATTAATTATATCCGTGGCATTTGGTATATGAATAAATGACTATAGTTATATGTGATGTGTAAATTAATGATAACATTGGCGTGTGATATGTGAAAACAAAATAATGAAGAAAAATGTGATATGTGAGAGTTAAATAATTGATAAATATGTGATGGTGACATAATGAACGAAGAGATGTATGTGACACGTGAAATAACGAAACGGTTTATGTTAATGTGATGTGTGAATGAAAAACCAAATGACTAGTTAATGCAAATAGCACGATGCAAAATATAGCATTTAGTATTTTTATATCCTCCTTTCGTTTTATTTACATGTGATATTATTGGATTACTTCATTGGTCGATATCTGGATTGTTGATAAAACAGAATATACCATTGGTTAAAAATATTAAATATGTGCTGGGTGATTCTATTGGTTAGAACTTAAAATTCCATGTATTAGGTTATTTTTAACTTTTAAAATGTTCGGATTTTGTGCATTTTTTTTTTTTACATTTGTTTTAAGTTAATCAGTCAATGAGTGAATGTAATTTGTAAATACAAAAAAGTATGTGAGTTGTGCCATCTTAGAGAACTGCGTATATGTGTGACATGTAAAAAAAAGAGTAAAGATTTCCTCTTTAAAACTAGCGATCTGTTGGGCATATCGAGTAGAGCTCATCTGTTTCATGTGTATCACATCTTATATGTGAAGCGTTTGTAGTGTTTAAATCAGTAGCATGTCTACATGTCTAACACAACACAACACATTTTTTTACTTGTTGACGACTAAATGAGAGTTTTGTTGGTTACATCTATTTAAAAGACAAAAAAAAAATATACCGCAGAATGAAAAGCAAACATTGGTTGTTTGTTAAAAAATAATTTAAGTTTTCTACCTATCTTTTTTACCTTGTAATTTTTTTTTTATTTTCACAAATGTTCCTTAATTGTTTTTATATATTTCTAGATTCACAAATGTTTAATACAATAAAAAAGCTATTTGCAAAAGTTGTGTTTATTGATTTGTGTAATTTGCGACGAGATGAAAACGAAAATGAACAAAAACATGCGAGAGATACAGAGATAAAGAGCAAGTGAGACAAATAATAACATACATATACATATGGGTGTGTGTTTGTGTGTAAAGGTGTGTGTGTGTGAGTGTAGCTGTTTTAATAACAAAATTAGCCTGCTTTATTCCAATCCGAAAATATTTTCATGACCTATATTCAGTGGCGGAACTAGAAAATAGTACCCCACATATATCTAACTATCTATAATATATATTTAAATATATATATATATATATATATATATATATATATATATATATATATATATATATATATATATATATAGTCAAGTGTTTAGTTTAATCATCTGTTTCAACCACCTCGGCATACAAAAGAGATTATGCAGTCAGCATTACACTCACTCGCCTTCATTTATCTAACGTGAGCCAGGTTTAAATGTAACGGCTGTATAGGTGTTTTTGATTACTATGTGTAACGAGCTGAAAGGGACAGGAGAATGTGAACGTGTCGATAGATTGACCTTAACAGCCTGCTGATTACTCTAGGGGATCCACCCCCCCCCCCTGTTCCCATTGTTTCTTCGTGAGTTTTTTTTTTCTCTGGAGGAGGTGCACTTGAAATTTTCGGGTGGGGGGGGGGGGTTAAATTGCCTGGGAGGGCGGACACTGTTAAAAGTATATATTTTCTACATAAATTCCATTTCGTTCGGGGGGGGGGCGGTAACCCCCCCCCCCCCCCCCCCCCCCCCGCAAGAGATGCCTGGAAGAAACACTACCCTCTCCCACCACGTCAACACACCCTTAAATCAATTACTTCCAGTACCTCCGCCCAAACAACTGCAGTAGGACATTACCCCCCCCCTCTCCCCAATCAATCACCCACCCTTTATTTACAGGAACAGATATGGTAATACTTGCTCCAGGTAAAGTGGATATCTACAAGAATAAGTACAGGTACAATGTCAGAGAATAGGTAAGAGATAGGGAAAGGAATTAGTTACGTTAATATATAGGGAAATCGATAAGAATAATGTTATGAAAATGTAATGGGATATGGAAAGAAATAGGAAAACGGATGGGTTTAAAATAGGGATTGCGATAGAGATAAGGAAAAGGATAGGGATAGCTATAGGAATAGTTAAGGCATAGAAATAACAATAGTCAAAATTAAATCATATAGGGAAAAATATAAAGAATCGGATATGTCTAAATTAGGGATAGCGATGACTATAGCAATAAGCATAAGGATAAGGATAGGAGTAAGGGATAAGGAAAAATATACGGGATTAAGGATAATAGGTTGAAGGTTAAGAGATAAAGGATAAGGAATAATGGGTTAGGTGTTAAGGGTTAAATGATAAGGGATATGCTTCTATTCATATGTATGTTTGCGATTGGCTTGTGGTTAATGTTAGTGTTGCCTACATTTTCTATATCGTCCACATTTACACATAGGCACTTAATTTAAAACTGGTTATATTTCCAAAAACCCGTTCAGCACCGGGTATTTGCTGCTAGTTCGCAATATAAATGTCGCTTTAACTGCCTTGCTATGTGGTGCTATCACTTAATCATACACAAATTGTATAAGGCACGTGACATTTGACTGACGTGCAAGTGGATGGTGAAATTAATTACTCAACCAGGATAAGTCATATGTAGTCCACTGTTATTTAAATATATGCAGGGGCGTTACTACTGTACCTCCAGATCTCGCAATGCAGAAGAGTGGAGGTGGAGCGGTATATCGCTTGTTTATTGTATTGATCGAAGTTTCTTTCAAGCGTCGTTCGCGGAATGGAGGGGGCACCGCCCCGTCCTCCCTCCCTGAACAAAATATAAAAAAATAATGGTATTTATATAGAGAACAATCAGGAAATTTAAATTCGCATGAAGAAGAGTTGAAAATCCACTCTCGCAAAGGTATGTATATCACAAAAGGAATTAAAGATCGAAAGGCGATACTTATCATCTTTGGGTATAAATGGTGCATATTACATCATCATCATCATATTTCCTTTGTGGCCCCTGGGGAGCAAAGGGCTGCAACTACACATCTCCATCGGACTCGGTTTTGGGCTGCTCCCTTTATCTGTGCCCATGTGTGCCCAGCTGTTTTCGCCTCTTCTTCAACCGTTCTTCTCCATGTCTTCCTTGGCCGGCCCACCCTCCTTTTTCCCCTGGGGATTCCAATCCAAAGCGTGTTTTGCGATGTTTTCTTTTTCTTTTCTTAATATGTGTCCGAGCCATCCCCATTTAATACACCATACTACACCAAAATTGTGAGAGCAGGTTTTCATTAAACATGGTAGTTGCCGCGGAATCATTCCACAAATAAAAGAATTCATCTTGTATTTCTTCGGGAATGCTGGCAACATCAAGTTTTGTCACTGCAGTTACTTCTTCTTTCAGCTCATCACCCCCCTTCGGAGCTTTTTTCCCCAGGGGGGAGGGGGCATTTAAATTTTCAGGGGGGGGGGTGGTGCGGACACTGGTAAAAGTATATTTTCTACATAAATTATATTTCTTCATATGGGGCGGTAGATGTTCTTCGGGAGTCTGCATACAGAGTTTCTTTGAGTAGGGGGACAGAGCCCCTACCCCAACCCCTGAATAAATTTTACCGCCCGCCCTTAAACCTGAATTATATACAATTTATATATAGAATACATATACCTTTACTTTATTTCATAAAAGCTTTGGTCGCTCATGAGATCTTTTACATTTATTTTTGTGACAAAACTTTTTTTTAAAGCTTGTTGATATAATGTTTTTTTTAAATATATGTTTTTTTGTACTTGACCTTCGTGTAAAAATATATAATTGTTCTACATTAAGTAAATAATTTTGTTTTCTGTTTTTTAAACCTGCTGTCAGTTTCAGAAAATAAAAAAAATATTGTAAAATGTGGAAAACATGTTTTCTACGCCACTCATCTAACTTGACGTTTAAATGTTGCACGTTATGTCCTGTTAGTTATTGTTACACTTTCTGTTGTATCTATCTTAGTTTAGTCTCTTGAATGTCGAGTCTCTGTGTACTGTGTAGCTGTGTTGTGCTTGGAGTATAATGTAGACGCCTTCAAGTTAGCTTCAACACTTAGTTATTCATAAACAGTACTGCTCCAACTGCACGTCTTCTCTCATGACTTATGCATAGATAATTCTTTGACATCAACAACACCGGCCTTATTTCCTGTCGGCCTTTTGTCTTGTCGGCCTTTTCTCCATGTCGGCCTTTTGTTCGTCTCTTTTCTTTTGTCCAGTCGCTCTTTTGTCCGTATCCCGTTCAAAACAGATGAGTAGTTTAAAAAAAATCCCTGCCAAATGTGTGTATTTGTTTAAAAATTGCGTGTGACTTTAGTATAAGAAATTTCGTTCTTGTTATTATAACTTGGACTAAATCAAATGCACTGCTGTAACAGCTTTAAGTGTATTGATCATCTTTTAACGTGCATGTTTTCTACAACGTCAGCACCGTTGATTTATATATCTGAGCTATTGGACGATCAGATTTTTTTCAGCCTTTTCTTCTCGCTTTATTGTGCTATTTTGGGAATTTCCCTTCAACACAAATAAAGTCGAACTATTATTCAGTAGACTCCGAATTCAGCCTGCTTTTTTCTGGATTTTGTTTCATAGCCTTTGTTCATCCAAGAAAAATCTATAAGAAAGTTGGGGTTTGATTTTGGAGTTTTCTCTCCTAGGAGGGTTGCTGTCACCAGCTATTTAACGTCATCTTCCCCAGGGACAGGAGTTGGAGTTTAGGAGCTAGCAGTCATGCGGTCCCCCACCCACAACACCTGCAACCCCCTCCCCCCCCCCCCCCCCACATGCACACACCTTCTTTTTTTTTAAATAGGCACATTTCTTTATGAAATTTAAGAATAGCCCAAACTTTAACGATTATTTTATTATTTTTAATGCTTTGTTAGGTTACAGCGTGTCTTTACATCTGAGGGTTGGTTTGTGGTAAAATATATAAATACTAAAGATATTTCCAACGAAAATATAAGAATACATAATTTTTAATTAAATTGTATATTATTCAATCATTTAAATAATGCATTAAATTAAAACATTCAATAATAAAAGGAGACAGATTAACTGATGTCAGTATGAGGTAGATAATTATCTTTAGAAAAATCTGAAAGGTAATGATACAGCTCTTATTTCTTTTAATTGGTCGTAAAATAATACACATAAAACTAATGGCTTTTCATACTCAAAAGCTGCTTATTCTACTTTTTAAATTTCTGATTACTATATAGTAAAAGAATATTTTACATTAAATTAGAGAAAATAAGTCGAAAATTGTTTCTTTTGATGAAAAAAAAAAACCGTTGACCACTTAATGATGTTCATAATACCTCAAACAGATTTTAGATACTAACGCTTTTGTTATTATATTTTTAGAAAGAAGGTAATTTTATATAAATATTTTTAATAATTAGATCTATACTAATAGATTATAAAAAAGCAATTTTTTATTTAAAAAAAAGCACTAATTAACAAATACATTGAATAATGTAAATAAGCTAATCTCAATATAAATAGATTTTTTTTTCAAAACTATAAAATATATCATCGTCTGGCTTGTAGAAGGCCAATATATATTTCAATGTTCAGTTTATGACGATATAATGCAAAAAGCTGCCATAAAAGTTAGTAAAAAGCTAAAATAGAGACATAAGTTATATATAGGCCTACACTTATAATAATATCTTAAGCTATTAATTAACAGCCAAATTTAAAAGGCCACGATACACTATAATTTTATATCACAAAAATACCACGACTTATGTATCTTATCATCAAGTAATTCGCATTCAACATTATTGATTTGTAATAAAATGTATAAAACATTTAGGACTAAAGCTAACCTGTCCATTATATAGCGTTTGAACTATGCATACTCTTTCAGAAGCATTAAATTTATTCTAGGAAAACAAATGTTCATTGGGTTCACAAATATCATGGTTACAAACGTCCACGGGACACTAGCGTTAGTTGACTTGGTAAATGTCCACCAAACCATCGACGACATTGGAGAAGCCAGGGGCCATCAGCCTGCCGTACAATGTCCACTTCTTCTCACTGACCAGCCTCTTGGCCTCGTTCTCCCAGGCCCGTCCGTAGTCCAGGTTCAGCACTGTCGCACGGAACACATTTACGATAAATCTGGGGAAATATAAGTTTGGTCTAATGGTAGATGTTGACGCAAATACGTTTGGTCTAGAGCTAAGAATTGATTGGGGGGGGGGGTGATGGAGTGTTAAAGATTGGTGTAGGCGTTGGCGATAAATATTGGTTAAATATTAACTAGCCCATCGAATGGCGCTAAGGTAATAATTTTACTTTGGCACACATTGAGAAAAATATAAAAATATAGCGGCAGTGATCTCCCCTAAGGAGTAACCAAAGTATTACTTCCGGTTACTGGAAAATTCTCTAGATTTGACAATAATACCGAGAATTATTACATTTATTTGAAATTTCACAGTACTTAAAACAGTAATTTTGAAAAACGTAAAGTAGAATACATTTCAATTTAGGTTACCGGAGGTCGCTGAAAAGTTGAGATAGAACTACAAATTTGATCATATGCTTATATTTGAAATTTCATTAGCCTAACTGTAACGGTACTCAAGCAATCGCGTTCATAGACACGCACAAACACAAATACACACACAAATACACACACATACAGACATACGGACAAAATTGCAAAACTAAATTTTTCCGACTCACGGAGGTGGAAAAAGTTAAGATTTGTAAAAAATTGGATATCTTTTGCTTGATTACAATACTTCCTCCATACTTCGTATGCGAGGAATTAAAAATCAACAAAGCATTAGACATCTTTGTTTGAGTTTCTTCAATAAAATTAAACAGCTGTTATAGTAGCTTGGATGGCGCAGTACCTGCCTTAGTGATGCCCTGATACTGCCCTCGGACCCGCTATTGATAATTCTGAAAATCCTCTATGGTACTTACCAACGGGCTTGATTTTTCTCCCCACCCCCTTCTGAAAATTACTTCACCTTCGCTTGTTTACCTTGTTACTCGACCCCCTGGATTGATGATCCCCCTCCCTACCATCCTATACTTACCCCCGGGCTTGATAATTCCACCCCCTCCACCATCTGATACTCACCCCCCAGGCTTGGTGATCCTGATCAGCTCTACCTGACAAGATGGCGGCAGATGGTTCTCACACACGGCACCGCTGATGGTCACAGCTTCGTACGTGTCTGTACAAGATTTATCGTGAACGTTAGTACACATAACTTGAACATGAGTTATATGGAAGTTATGTACATGATATGTGGGGTTACTTCAAAACATGTACAGATTTTGTCACAGTGAATATAGTATCATGTTTACAGCCCAGTTTGATTACTCAAATCAAGTGGAACCTGTCACATTTAAATCAAAACAGGACTGACTGTTAGTACTAGCCTAACTTTTTCCACGAGAAAGTTGTAACAATGATTAATCATGAATAAATTTCAGCACTAGCTCACCATTTTCACAGGGACAGTCAGTGATAGTATTTCTTTTTTTACGAGAACGTGTCAAAATTAAATCAAAACAAGACTAACTGTCAGTACTATCTTACATTTTTGTTATCAGTGAACTTGATTGCTAGCTTACCCTTTTTCACATGGAACTTGTTTGCCGCCTTACCGTAGTTTACATGGAACTTGGTTGCTTACCGTTTTTCACAGGGAACTTGTAGCCCTCGTCAACGATACTACAGATGAAGGACGAGTAGACGTTCTTCTCCCTGCAGATGTCCAGCATAGCCTGAGCACCGTCGTGTGCTACAATTTTCCTGAAGCCTCGCTTGTGAAGCTCTTCACCCACCCAGCCTGAAGAAAAGGAATGGTGTCATGCTAAACTGATATAAAATGTTTTCTTCAAGTGCGACTGCGTTGATTTAACAGTGTACCATTATAGTGCAGCTATTTCGATAACTGAAACAGTTACTTTTTGTGTTTATTTTTTAGAATCGCTATTTTAGTGGGTTAAGTGACTTTTAACGATTTGTAAATAAATATGATACACTTTAGAGGGTCGATTTAGGATTGCTTCTTGTGTTAACTTTATATGTAACCTGTATAATGTTATAATGTTAAGATCCTGTAAAAAAAAATAACTACAGAAGTAAATAGTAAACTTTTTTTTTTAAAAAATTGGCTAGCAATTACAAAACAGATACGCTTCCAAATTTGTTTACTAATTTAATTTTATCGGGTCAACCGAGGTGTAGAGTTGAGAGGATGTAAGGGTGGGAAGGTGGGGAGGGGGGGGGGGTAAAAACACAAACAATCTTTTCTATTATCCTCTTCCGACACGACCTTGGGTTTTTTTTTCAAAAAAGGTATCTCACGTGTGAAAAATTATGTAGTTAGAGTACTAACAGCGGTTAGCAAATTTCATCACCATGGGTGAAGTATTAAGCAAATTATGCCATGTATACAAAAATGTACAACGTGTCACAATAGAGTAAAATGTCAGTAACACCTTATTTATAACATGCAATTCTGGAATTCAATTTTCTACGTATTAGAATGGGGCATTTTATTTAAAAAATAAACAATTCATAAGTGATCTAAAAAATAACTAAACAAATTTTTAAATATTTTTATCTAATAGATGCAACAGATGCGTAGCGAGGGGGGTGGGGGGTTGCGGATCGAGCCGGGTGACACCATTTAGGGGGTTGCAAATCGAAAGTTTGAAGGGGGGGGGGTGCAAATCGAAAATTGAAAGTTTGTCCCCGGGAAGGGTCGCTATGCCATTGGGGGGCGACACCATTAAGTGCCGTACCGGGTGATACCCGACCTTGCTACGCCACTGTTCCGGACTCCAATTTGAATGTTGAAAATGTATAGCAATAAAAAATGAAACATCGTGTTTAAATGGTAGTAAAGAAGCGCCGGAAAAAAATAGAGCTAAACAATATTAAAATTCGTGTTTTTAGCTAGAAAATATTTTGGACAAAATATATATGTAGAGAATTAACCACGGTGTCGGAAGGGGATATACGCATATTAACGACCGCTCAATGCGTTCAACGCAGGAGAATCGAAGCTTGAGCCTTCAGCAATTACAATAACAACGTGTTGAAACTAAATCTGACCTGTCCCAGCGGCGACGTCTAGCACCAGGGCATTGGCTCTGTCCTGGATGAGACCAGACAACATGTCAGCACAGTAGAGTGGACCGCTGTAGTTGTGTCTTGAGGCCATCTTTTCATAGAGCTTCACCTTCTCAACGTCCTCGTATTCTGTTGGTTGATAGCATTCGTTACTGGTTGTTGCTGTATTAGGCATGTAGTTTTGTGTATGAAAGTGGTTGTTGCTGTATTAAGCACGTCGTTTTGTATATGATAGTGGCTGTTGCTGTATTATGCATGTCGTTTTGTGTATGATAGTTGTTGTTGCTGTATTAGACATGTAGTTTTGTGTATGATAGTGGTTGTTGCTGTATTAGACATGTAGTTTTGTGTATGATAGTGGTTGTTGCTGTATTAGACATGTAGTTTTGTATATGATAGTGGCTGTTGCTGTATTAGGCATGTAGTTTTGTCAATAAGTAGGTGTGCTGAATTAGGTAATGTTTTAAATTCTTTGCTCCAAACATACTGTCGTTGATAATATTGCACCAAAAGAGAAGGTGCTCCCTTGTAAGCAAAAAATAATGGACAAATATTTCAGTGAACTATTTGTTGGTAAGTTTCACACACAAAAAATAGATTTTTATTTAATGTCGTCGAAGTACTAGATCGGGTTTACCACCAGCATCTAATGATAAAAGCAAAACTGTAGCTATTTATATCATTAGTAGCCCGATAGAGATACACCAACATATCTAATGATTTCAACACTAGCATATGTAATGATATAAGCACCACTCCATATAATGATATAATCACCAACACATCTATAGATAGATTCATCAGCAACTAATAATTCAAACACCTTTAACTAATAATAGGATCACTAGAAGCACCACCAACATTTAATGATAGCAGCATAAGCACATCTAATGATAAAAAAACCAGCACATCTAATGAAAGAACCACTACATCTAATGATAGTAGCATCATCACAAAAAGATAGAAGCATCGCCATCGCATAATGATAGAAACGACATCATGTCTCACCTTGTATACACTGCTTAATGCCCATGCCTGGCGAATGAAAAGCGTTGATAAAGTTGTCTGCCTCCAACTCCTCAGGGGTTCTTTCGACTTTCTTGTCCATTATCGTTAGATCACAATTATACAATTAGCACATCAACTTGCTGAAAATTGCTTTCTTCCTTCTGTCTCTGAATATCAAAAACCAATATCTACTCCAAGAGTAAAACCACCCAACTGTAGAATAAAGTTTATCCTGAAATTAGTTTCATGTGAATATAACATAAATTAAGAATAAAGCAAGTAGTTAGAAATTTTTTCAAATGTAAACTTAGAATTTTATGTTCTACTATGATCAAGTTAGTTTTAGTGTGAATGAGTCTTTTTCGGCGTACTGGGGTTGTTAAGGGGAGTGGAATGTTAACTGCCAAACGAAGCCTGCTTATGGAATTACCTCTCTGTCTAAGCAAAAAATACAGCTGTAAATTGACGTGCAAATCCGTTTTGTTGTAGTACTTGGTTATTTTGAAATAAAAGGAAATAATGGGGTCGTTTTTGGTCGGGTAGGAGAGGTCATCGCTGTTTGATCTAAAAGTCCTGAATTTCACCCCCTTGGTACATAAGGTTCTTTAGCTGAGAACAGCGTCCCATCTTGTTGAGAAAATATCAGAATTTGCTTTGCTGACTATAATCTAGGGTTGACAAAGGCTGTGAAAGTTATCTAGAAAGTAAAGCAGCCTGAAGTCGAAGTCAACAGGTCATAAGGAGCATAACATGTTGACAAATTATACGTACTAGATAAATGGCCCGTTGAGGGAGAAATACAACGTGCGCTAGGTTGATAGTGTTGTCTTTTTCTCTAAACCGAAAATAAAACAAATACACCACCTCAACCTCAAATTTAACAGGAGAGGAAAAAATGTCATTGAAAATGGATTTTTATCCTGAATCAGCATTTAACCATGATCTGGAAATTTAATGTGTAATAAATAATTTTTAATTCTATGTTTACTTTAGAATCAATGACGTCATTTTTTGTGTGTACTTTTCCAGCTTTAAAACCCTACATGTTTCGTTTCGTTTAGAAAAATTGCTAGGAGTTCCATGTTGCGTTCCTATGAAGCTTTTTATTTTCCTTGTGTTTTCTCTAAAGCGTTCCGGACAGACAGAATGGTGATACTACTATTGTGATTGTGTCGGAGCAAGTCCCCTCCAATATTCAATTAAGAAATACTGTGCACCTTAACTACTATGAACTATGTGATTGAATAGTTAAGATTGATGTTTATAATAATTACATAATAATTATATTTAACTCTATATATCAGAGAGATTTCTAGGTAATGGAATATTCAAGTTGAAGATAGTTACAAAATACATTATTCTAAAATATTATTATAATTAAGCTTGTGATATGTCATTTAATCTCACTACATGTTTGAACTAATTGCAAATAGCTGGATTCAATCAAACTATCAGTTCACTTAAAAATAACATTGTGAGAACAAATTCTTCGAGATCTATATTGTAGCTTTTCGTTTTCATAGTTACAATAGAGGCATATGAAGTAAGAAAACAATTCACTTCTGGTAAATAAACACCATATAGATTCCACAGCTGCCACCTCTAGTTCTATAGATGTCAATTTTCTTATTGCTTTGTTGAATCTCGTCCTGTTTTCTGTCCTATTTGAAATCGTCTATCGGCAAAAACGTATTAAGTTATATGATTTTAATTCCCCTTCAAATATTTATTGTAAAATTTTCAACGGGGTGAACGTTCTTTCCTGTTATTTTGTTTCGGTAAATTTTCTGATTCTAAATTTTATAAAATTTAAAGACTTTTAGTATAAAAAATATTAAAAACTAGTAACATACGAAATTTAAACAAAAATATTGAAATAACTGGTACATTTTGAAAATAACATCCACATTTTGAAACATAACCTCATGATATTATTAATACGAACATAAAACAAAATACCTGAGCTTGCAATAGCGTATCAACATACACCCCCTGCCCTTTTTATAATGGGTACATTACTGACAGACCCAATCTGTTTCATTAATTAAATCATACGCTAATCGCTAATGATTTCGGTGTTAAGTGAATACACAAGGCAGATTATCGAACGAGTGACAGCATTTCAGATGACTTAATCCTCAATTCTGGAAGTTAAAAAATCTAAATAAAACATTTTTTTATGAGTGGTTTTTATGGTGTCAGTAGGTATTTCTAAATCAATTAAAACTCGGCGGATTAGTGCATCGTTTGTAAGGATATTGGGTTTATTGGTATTTAAAAGTGCAACGTATGAGAGTATAAAGTTCAAGGGTAGATGCACGTGCTACACAATTGAATTAGAATATAAAATTGGGTGGTATATACAAGTGATACACCGTGTAAGGATATAAAGTTACGAGTGTGTATATAGGCATTACACCAAGTGAAAGAATATAAAGTTATGAGGGTGTATACATGTATTACACCGTGTGTAAGAATATAAAATTAGGAGGGTAGCTACTCCCAATATCAGATCATGTATTATACTGTATTTCCATCAAACGTGACTCTATTTCAGAGTAGTAGCTACTGGGGGGGGGGGGAGGGGGCACCGACTCAACATGGGAAGGGGCAGGGGGCTCCAAAATGGGTAGAAAAACATTTAAATGCTCATTTTAAGCTGGAGTTTTGAAATATAAACAGATAAAAGAAATTTAACGGCTCCCAATCGTTACATACTGATTTAATTGTTTTCTACCTCGATTGTGTTACTGTAAAAAAAAATCCTTAAGAAGCAGTGACCGGCAAAAACCGATTTCAAGCGTTTCCTATATTGGGAAGAGGGGGGGGGGGTGCTTTTCAGCCGAATAAAATGAGAAAGATTTACACTGGATACGTAGGTAGATAACCTGTATCACTTATAAAAGAAACCTAGTAAGTTAAAGCGTATTGTACGATTGTGTAATCGTATTAAAAAGTTAGTGTCGTTACAACCTGCTGTACATATATTGTCCAACAAGGTGGGGGGGGGGACGCTTTTTCGCCAACAAAAATCGCAAGTATTTGTACTAGATTGGTGAGTAGATAATTCTTTTAACACTTAGAAAATAAACCAGTTTTACTTAAGCATATTATGTAACAGTGACATAAGAAAAAGGTTGGGGCGCTTTTTCGCCAAGGTAAATGGGAAGTGTTTACAACGGAATGGTGAGTAGATAAATCGTTTAACACTTAGAACAGAAACTCTCGGGCAGATGAGGCTCGTTAGCTGGGGACAGCCACACTTCTAGGAAAGACAACTCCAAAATTAAACAACTGCTGCCTTGTAGTTTGTTCTTGGTTGGACAAAGGCTATGGAAGCAAATCCAAAAAAGAAAAGCAGGCTGAAATCGGAGTCAATGGCCTCAATGGCGCATAACTAGTTGACACGTAACGCTTAATTGTGTTGGAGGCGTGGTCGAGACGGCAAAAAGCTCATGGTTGATAAATTCGAACAAAGTCTCGAGTTCAAACCCACAGGCAGATAAATCTCGATCCCCTAATAATTAAGAACGAAGAAGAAGAAAGAAAAAGAAGAACAGAAACTAAATGTATAAACGTATAATATACGATTTCACTAGACAATTTTGTTAAGAAATGACGCGACTAGTTTTTTGTATGTTTCTTACGATTCTTTCAACTTCGACGTCAGAGATCAGATACTTTTACTTGATTGTATTACATCTTGCCTGGATCACTGTATTAAAGTGGAATAAATATCGCTATCTGATCAGTAAAATAGTAAACGGTCGGGGCGGGGAAGGCGATACTCTTTGCCCTAAATTTTCAGAGCTAAGAAAAATATAACACGGCTTTCGATGTTTAAAATGATCTAATACATCTGTTGACTAGAAAATTAGTTTCTTGTACCGAATAGATAATCTTTGGATTGCTTGTTTCAAAACAATTCCTAATACTGCAATTTTCCTATAGTTAAGGCCACTAGACCTACTAAACGATGTAATAATGGTACAACACGACGACTGCTAATGCTTTGTTACTTTGTTCAACCTAATTGATAATTTAAAACTGTAAATATACTAGTTTCGAAATAATACTAAAGAAATGAACACAAGTGGACCAATTAAGCTTCCACCTTCTACAAACTACCCAATAAAGCAATGGTTCTTATTCTGTTTTTTAGGGTACCGAATCCCACCAGTTTCATTTGCTGATTCACCGAACGCTTATTAATAGTTATTTTTTACGCAGTGTCAAAATCCGATCGTGAATTATATAAGTCGGGTGTGTGTCTTGATTTACGCCAAATCTCTGGGCCCGACTCGCCGAAACTTTGGTTCGATCGAACCCAAGTTAAGACCTGTTCAAAACATAGGCAATTCACTTGATTTTCATGAAGATCGATCCCTAAAAAAACAGTCTCCCCCATCTATATTTCAAACGATTTCCTTCACGATATAATTGGTCTCCACCAGTGTTTCTTGCAGAATTTTTTTCTCCGGGGGGGGGGGGGCTTGATGTTTTCGGGGGGTGGGGGGGGACAACATTTTCTGGTGAGCGGACACAGGTAAAAGTATGTTTTCTATATAAATTCCATTTCGTTCGGGAGGGGGGTAGACTTTCTTCGGGGAGAGGGGGGGGGGGCAGGTGGGGCTAAGACACTCTGGTCTCCACCTCTTCCTCTTGTCCCGTGGACTTCACACCATCACCTGCTTTGTGACGTGTCTTTCTGATATTGTGCCCCAACCACCACCTTTTCCTTGCTCTTATTTCAATCGCCACTGTCTGTAACCACCTAGCTCCGAGCCATACAGTGAAAGAGACTTCACATTTAGCTAGAGATCCTGACTGAATTTTATTCTGACATTGTTGACCATGACAGTGCGTTTAAATTTCCGCATTGGTTTAGAAAGTTACAAAGCATTTCATTTTCATTCCTGCTGCTTCTAATCTGAACGTCATGGTGCAACAACCTTTAAACCGGTTATTACTGCTTGTTCAACTAGTACAATTTGTTCAGCTTTTGTTGTTGACTATGTGCGAGAAGGCAGTGCAGGTGAACTGGGGTGAACTATAAACATTGCAGCCATTTATACATTTTTATTCATGTTGGCGAAAAAA